AAGGTGTCCCTGCCCATGGCAGGGGTTGGAACTGGAGGAGTTTTAAGGTCCCCTCAACACAAACCAGTTTGGGATTCTGTGATTCAATAGGCAGCTGATTACTTGCTCTCACTACATCTCAACATGCATCACACTAACACAACAGCTACTCACATGATAGAAAGTCCACAGCTGCAAGGAGCCCTGCAAGCCTCATGCACTTTCATAGAGTGACCTGAAATCCAACTGTTCCTCCCTTCTTGCTATACTGAGTGCATTTATGTCTAAAGAAAGTGGAACCCAAGTAACTTCAGGGGTGTCTAAGCAAATAGGTGAGGCAGGTCAAAACACTCTTCTGCCAGAAAGCTTTAAGCATATACTTCTTATTTAAGAGGCTGCCATGAATCCAGTGAGGACTCCTAATGGGGGACACCAAGGGAGAATAACTGATGTGCTGACAAATCCTCATTTATAAGGAGAAAAAAAACCCCAACCAAACAAAAAACCATAATGGAAAGGTTCAGAGCCTCAATGCTCAGAATGATCATTTAAGATCATCAAGTCCATAAAGGGACAGTTTATCACTGTTTTATGATTACTCCACTGTGTTCTGATTACTCCAAATAGCACCCAACTTTTAACTATCTGCAATGACTGTCAGAATTGCTTTCCCATCCAACTGTGAAGGCTATGAAATGTGTGAGTGACAGCTTCACCTCTGTAAGAACTTACAGCAAATGAAGGTTCACTAATGCACTACTATGTTACACTGTCTTATTGAATAAAGCTGAAAACAAAGACCAGTCAATACAATATTTGGTTCTTATGCCACCTGAGAAGCCAATCCAAATCAATAATGACCTTGGGGATACTCCTTATTCAAATTATAAATAGAGGAATATAAAGTTACATTCCATAACAGATACATTCCATGAGACAAGACAGGTCCAAAGGATTAAAAGGAAGCATGGAAGTTCTCCCACTTGTGCAAGGTCACACAAATGTCTTGGCCAAGTGTCTACATTTCATGAGCCTGACACAGCTCTGAGGCCCTGAAAGCCACAGCTGGACTGGGAAACAGCCTCTGACCTCCCACATCCATGGCATCAACTCTCCCAATGAGGTCGAGCAGCTGGACCTGCAGAACATAAAAATGCAGCTTTTTTTGCTTCAATCTCAGTTCTTCCTCCTACATTTTGCTTCTATGGCTCCATGTACACTGTACATACAAATATCTCATTAGCAACGTATGTCCTGGGAGCTATATAGAACTTGGAAAAAAAATGGAGAACTAAGAATGCAGAGATGGAATTTTCCTCTAAAATCCTGTCAAACGCAAACACTGAGTGGAACTCCCAAATACTTGTACAAAAAGGCAACGTGCAGTGAGCCAGTTCTTACACAGAACAAGTCACCAAGGGCTTCACGTGCAGCAGCCACACACTTTCCTTGGGGCACTGTAAGCACTGGGCTCTGAAAACATGCACAAGAGTAAGGAAAGAGAAACTAAAAGCAACTGTTTCATCAGGGAAGGTGCATTTTTCAAACCAGGCCATTCATCACAAGATGTGATTAGAACACAAGGGAGCAGTTGGGTTAAGCATAAATCACTCTCCTCAAAGCATCTAGCTGCATGGATTCGAGTTCAATCCCAAGCACTCGAGTTAGACTGTCCAAGGCAGTCAAGTTTTTATTCTCCTACCTTTCTCTTCTACTTCAAGTCCTGGTTGAGTCTTCTCTTGCAGTTGAGCAACGCTGTCCTCTGAAATCCTATCTGTCACACTCTTCACTTCCACAGCTTCTGCAACAAAACAGTTTATAGCCAAATGAAACCAAAGCTACAATTAAAAGATGAAAAGAAAAAGCCATGCTAAATTCCTGTTACGTTTACTGTTTCTTTCAGGGTTATCCTGCTTTAATAAACCATCTTAGGTGTAAACAAATAACATTCCAAGTTCACAAAGCCTTTTTACATGACTGCTGGTTGAACTCCTCATGTTCCTGAAAACTAATGGCAACTTCTTCAATTCACAAACTGTTCCCAGATATTATTTATTAGCCTGAGAGCTGGTGAAAGAATACAATATTTACCTAATAAACTAATTGCTAAAATACACACTATTGTTTGTGTACTGCTTAGAATACAAAGTGCACTTGGGTTTGTAATAAAAAGGCTTTAAACACTTCTCAGACTAAAGCCATTAAGAAATTTCAAGCAAGAAAAGCTGATTTCTGGTAGCTGAACTCCCCACCTTGCTGGTAATGCTATAGAAGAGCCTAGTCCTCACACACAGCCCTCCTCTGTTGCTACCTAAAAGTGGCTTCTTTTTGCAAAAAGACAAAAGACCATTTAATCTACCAATGATCTTCAGTTCATTTCCCCCAGTTACATCTGTACATCATTCCTGAACATACACCTGTGCATTGAATACATGTGGTCAAGTTAAACTATTCATAGATTACAAGGCCTGTATAGTATGGGCAGAATATTTAGCTTTAGGCTTATCATTAAGAATACACACACAACCCCTTCACTTGGAGTAACATGTTCAGTGCCTAATGCTTGGCTGAAACATTCCACACTAGCAAAACCAGCCATGAGATTACTGCATGCAGCATAAAGCTGAAGCTTTCAGGACATAGAGATGAATAGCAGAGGATCTGCTCCTCCACCAATGCCACGGGAAGCATCCACGAGGTCTGAGTTTAGCAGAAAAGCCAAACTAAGAGAGGAAAGTGAAGCACAGGTTAGATCCAAGGCAGAAGCTCTTCCCTGTGAGGGTGCTGAGGCGCTGGCACAGGGTGCCCAGAGAAGCTGTGGCTGCCCCATCCCTGGCAGTGTTCAAGGCCAGGTTGGACACAGGGGCTTGGAGCAACCTGCTCTAGTGGAAGGTGTCCCTGCCCGTGGCAGGGGGTTGGAACTGGAGGAGCTTTAAGGTCCCTTTAACACAAACCAGAAAAGTAATTCAGTGTCTTAAAGGAAAGCTCTTCAGATCTCAGGTAAGAGCACAAGTTTTGCTGCAAGGCACGTTGCAACTATAAAAACCAGCCATTGGCCGAGTAGTAAACACGTAACATTAACTATAAACCAAACCAACACACATTTGCTCCAATTCCATTAGGAATTCATTCATAATAGAGGTGAGCAAATGCTGGTGTGACTTGGTTTAGTTACCAGGATAGCAAATATACCTGCTTTTGCTTTATCGATCCTCCACTCACCACTTCAATTTGGTTTATTATAATTCTTATTCAGTCATGACACCAAACCTTTGGCTTCTCCTGTTGTGTATTTATTTATCTCTGTTAGTATTAGAAAACACAGACAGCTCTGATCATCACCAGTAACTACAGAGACCAGTGGGCAAGAGGCATCAGCATAGCTCCAGAAGGTTTTTACTCCCCTCTGGATTACTTACTATGCAAGTAAGTAATGTAAGAAAGCACCTATGAGCACTACTCACCTACTGCAGCTCTGCTGCATGAAAACAGAAAGATAACTGATGCCCCATAGTATTTATCACTTCAGTAAAGTGAAATTTGAGTGCATTGACTGGCTGCTTCATCAGAAGAGAGGGCTTTTGTAATAGTCACCTTAAAGGCAAAACACAGCATTAGTTGTTGACCATATTACATTGATCCCAAAAGCTGGATCCTGATTTGAAGGAAGGGATGAGCCTATAAACTGGGGCATGTCTAGTCACTAAGTTTAGTGCCAATTCAGGCTACAACACAAATATTCAAATCTTGGGAAATAGCACAAGTTATAGGATCAGCAAGGATCACTAAGTAGTAAAATCAGACTATATTTAATAGAATCCAGATGGAATTTTTCAGCTGGAAAATTATTAAAACCTCACAGCACACAAGTACATGAGATGAGACGTAAAATCTTCAATGTTCAAGCACCAACTTGAATTAAGCTCCTACGACAACAGCCATCCATATCCACAATGCCAGCCCCTTGCCAAGGTATTTTAGGTGCCTAAACATCTATTTGATTTCTCACCCCTTTCAGTATTTTGCCTCAGACACATGGAAACCTGCTAAAACAGAAAACCTGGGTGCTTGCCAAGAAAAATGGCAACACACAAGCTCTATACACACATTAATAATTCAGTTCCAACCCCCTGCCACGGGCAGGGACACCTTCCACTAGAGTAGGTTGCTCCAAGCCCCTGTGTCCAACCTGCCCTTGAACACTGCCA